GTTAGCCCTCAGAGGTCAGATGGTTATTGTATCAAATTCCCCAAATGAAGGACAAATATAATGACCTAAAATTGCTCTTTACTGCAGAGTATGGAGTTTTGGGGTTCTTTTCTGTCTTTTTTTTTTTTTTTTTTTAAGGAGGTGAGAGTCTTGCTATGTTGCCCAGGCTGGACTCAAACTCCTGGGTTCAAATGATCCTCCCTTCTCAGACTCCCGAGTAGCTGGGACTACAGATGTGTGCCACCCTATCTCACAGAGTTCTCATTTCAAAAGATCTTTGTATGTCCATGGTCTGGATACCTGCATCTAGCATTTTCTGAGTATTTTCTAGATTCCATTCTATTGACTCAGAGAGACCATCTAGCATCTGTGACCTCATCTGTGATGCCTTTTGACTTTCTTGTCTGCTTTAATGACAGAGTTGCTCGTCGTTCCATGCCCTGAAATTGCTGTATTCCTCTCTCTGCAGAGAGGGCCTTTCTTTCTTATCCTTTGCCTTAAGAACCCTCACCTAGTTTCAGGCTCGGCTCTGTGTGATCCTCTGCAGGAAGTCTTCTCATACCGGGGGGCTTTCTCCTCTGTGCAGCTTGCCAACACTTCACATACCACGTGGTGTTGTGCCAATGGGTTTACATCTCTTGGAAACACCCAGAATGAACCAAACCCTTTCCCTTCGTTGCTGGACAAAATCCCACAATAAGGCAGACAGATGTCTTCATAAACTACTCACCTGTCTCAGAGGGTTGTAGCTCTGCCCAGGAGTGTTCCTGTTTCTCTAGGAAGTGTTCTACCCCATCTGTTTTCCTCTTTATTCAGACTTCTTCCTGTGCCCAAATTCTCTGTAAGTGACTTCGTCTTGTGCTTGAAAAATAACCATCTGGTCGGCATCTCCCTTAGCTTTTGGTCATGACAAACCCATTTGTATTGGCATCTCTTTCTCGCAACTTTCTATTTCAAGGAAGGAGCTTTTTTTTTTTTTTTTTTTAAAGCGACAGAGTTCCCCCAGGCTGGCTAGAGGGCAGAGGCAATTATAGCTCACTGCAGCCTCAAACTCCTGGACTCCGGTGATCCTTCCGCCTCAGCCTCCCAAAGCTGGGACTACAGGTACCCGCTACCATTTCTGGCTAGTTTCTTTTTTTTTTATAAGAGACGACGTCTCACTTTTGTCGAACTCTTGGCCTTAAGCAGTACCCCTTCTTGGCCTCCCAAAGTGCTGGGATTACAGACGTGGGCCATTGAGCCCGGCCTGCAGAAGGAGCTTTACTCCTATGACAGGCCTGTCCTCCAAGGTCAGCATCCCATCTTCTTCTGTGTTAGAGACTTTGAACCATCTTTTCTGGATTCTTCACATGGATATTTAGACATGTTCTTATCTCCTAAATACCAATCTTCCATCTTGAAAAAAAGAGACCTCTCATATGCCTTCACTTCATTGTGTGTTCCCTTTCATCAGTCATTCTCTCTCTTCTGCCCTTGGTGTCATCCTTCTGGAGAAGGGTTGGTCCCCCACAGGCTTACCTTTCAGTCATGAGTGAACTTTAGCCTCGCTCTTTCTCTCACTTTCCATCAATGTGGCTGAGGTCTTGTTCCCGCTCTGACATCTCTGCAGCGCACACAGCTAAACCCCTTTATTCTTTTTTCCAACACTCCAGTAGCTTATTCCTAGTTCTACCACCATCTTTTCCTTCTGATCTTCTGTTTCCTGAACTTACTGCTTGGTCTGCGACAGTTTCTTTTTTCTGCTACATCCCACTTATCTACTTTGATGACTTCAAATGCCATCGACTTGCTGATTACAAAATTTTTATCTCAGATCTAGATTTCTCTACTAGGCTGTGGACCTGTGTCCCTGACCACCTGTTTTACTAAGACCTTGGTTATCTCTAAACATCTTGAATTTATCATGAGCCCTTAGTGTATGTCCCCAGCTGCTTTTCCTCAAGATTTTCCTGTTTCAATTAATAGTATTCTTATCTCTTCACGTGTTCATGCCAGAAATCTGGGAGTGATCTTGGAAATCCTTACCTTTTCCACTATCAGTTTGTCACCCATTACCTGGATTCCACCTGCAAATATCTCTTAAATATATCTATGTCTCTTCATTTTTGGCCGGGTGTGGTAGTCATGCCTGTAACCTCAGCACTTTGGGGGACTGAGGCTAGAGGATTCTTGAGCCCAGGAGTTCAAGACCAGCCTCGGCAATATAGTGAGCCCTAGTCCCTACAGAAAACAAAAAACAAAAAAACTAGCCAAGCGTGGTGGTGCATACCTGTAGTCCCAGCTGCTTGGGAGGCTGAGGTGGAAGCATTGTCTGAGCCCAGGAGATTGAGGCTGCAGTGATCTGTGATTATGCTGCTGCACTCCAGCCTGGGCAACACAGTGAGACCCCGACTCAAAATAATAATAATAACGATGATCATTGTGTCAACTCAGTGCTTAAAAACCCTTCATGGCTTTCCACTGTACTCAAAATAAAATGATCACCCTTCCCCACGAGGCCCAGTGCCCTGATGACCTGCCATCACTCAGCTCTTTCCACTCACTGTTTCTGTCCACCCCATCATTCTGGCCTTTTGACGTTTCCTGTGATACTCAACTCCTTCTCGCCTCTGCTGGTCTCAGGCTGGAAACAGTTTCTCTTGTTCTTTGCACTACAGGTCTTAGCTTCAGTGTTACGTCTTTGATGAAGCTCTCCCTGAACACATTTCTCCTTATGCCTCTGCTAATGAATTCCTCACCATGCCCTCGCCCTAGCTTATCCCCATTGGAAGGAATGACTAGAATTTCTCATTATGTATCTCTTTAGGTGCTCATGTATCCAGTATTCGTTTTCCCTACTACACAGTAATTTTCACGAGGACAACGACTGTGTTGGTTTTGTTCATAATTGTTGCCCTGTCACTTGGCAGACATTTGTTCTGTGAAATGTAGAGTTAATTAAGCTGGCTACTTGGAATGAAGATGTATTCATTTGGCACTTTTTATTTTTTGAGTTGGGAGTCTCACTCTGTCGCCCAGGCTGGAGTGCAGTGGTATGCTCATGGCCACTGGATCCTTGATCTGTTGGCCTCAGGTTGATCCTTCCATCTCAACCTTCTAAGTAGCTGGAACTACAGGTGTGCGCCATCATGCCCAGCTAATTTTTTGATTTATTGTAGAGACAAGGTCTCACCATGTTGCCCAGGCTGGTCTCGAACCCCTGGACTTAGGCAATCCTCTCTCCTCCACCTCCCAAAGTGCTGAAATGACAGGCATGAGCCACTGCGCCTGGTCTTATTTGGCACTTTTATTGCAATGCTGTAAGGTGGTCAAGCTTGGGTTCAGACTCCCGTGGGTTTTTTTAATTTTAAAGATATGGGGTACAATTCAGGGTTAGAATCATGTGGTTTTTAACTCCCTGTTTCTGTCTTCTGTGAACCTGACATTTATTAGGTACTGTGATCCCACGTATAATGTGCTGCTGACTCCTTTCTTGAGCATGCCATCCTGTGTGGAAGAGGTATTACATGGAGCTTTATTCAGGAACGCTAGTAGGCTAGATTCAGATCTGGAAGCTTAGGATGTGTGACACAGGTGTTCGTATACATGTGCCTTAGATTAATGGATGAGATATTGTTTGTAAATTGGATCATCTTGAAAATGTATGGCAGAAGTGCTTGTGTTTGCTTTCCAAAATGAAACGGGGTAGGGGGGCAGTCTGTATTACTTAGGCAGGATTCTTCCTCTGTTCTTCGGTATGTAGAACTCTTGAGTTTGCCGTTATTGTGGGTCACATGGTCTAAAATGTAGAGAAGATAAAATGACTCTATTTTGAAGATGATCCCTTCTCCTTGCTCCTAATTCTTTCTTTTGTATTTCTGTTGCCCCAGCTCTTTCATACACAAATAATAAATTCTCCACGTGGGAATGAGTGGACCCCAGGAGCAAGCCTGGGGTGGAAAGTTCAAACTCTGGGCATCTTGAATGTGGGTGTAGGCCCTTATTTTGAGCATTCCCTGTCTGACAGTATGGATGGTCTCCTTGGGAGAGTTCATCACATAATAAAACATTACTGAGGAGCCTTTGGTTAAATTAAGAATCCTTTCCTTTTCCAAGTCACTTATTTTTTTTTTTTTCTGTAATTTTACGCTTGGATTTTTAGGCTTCTTTGTAAGAAAGGGGGGGAAAAGGATATGGCACATTCTTGAATAGTGTCTTGAGATTTACTTTCCTATTTTGGATATTTCTGGTCTCCTGGAAACATAGAGTGAGAAAACCAGTACTCACTAGCATATTGTTATTAAGGATATTCTCCTTAGGTGGATAGTCCCTTTTTCCTGCATTTTCAGCATTTGGTAGCTTAAAATGAAAAGCCCCAAATCAGCCAGTATCAGAAATGAATGGGGTTGTGGTTGGAATTTGTGTGTGTTCGCCTCCTTTCACGTTGACCCTCTTTGATGTCATGTTTGCCAACACACCCAAGCATTGGCTCTGCCTTTTTCCTGAACCTCCAGGGATTCTACTTGGCTAATACACCTTAAAATTCTTAATGCAGAATTTTCAGTAATGAGGGGCAGACCAGTTGTATTTGAACCATAGCCACAATCCTCTTTACATAATGTAGTCTGAGTACCAATAAAGGAATGTAATTGAATTTTAAATTTTCGAGGAGGGGGAGGAAAAAAACAACCTCAGACAGAAGCGTTCTGTTAATGAACGTGATAGACCCCTTTGTTGTTTCAAGACAGCCCTCTTGCTGTTTTGCAGAAGAGTGTTGGGCTGTGTTGCACATTTCCTGGCAGACTGCCCCGCCTCCTCTTCCCTGAAAATATTTATGGAGTTCTAGTGCTTTAATAAGTTGAGAAATGACTTAATTGTCCCATTGGCAGAGTGAGATAAAGCAGTCAAATATGTTGTTCGTTTTAGTTCTGGGTGGGGTGGAAGAGGGGAATGAAATACGAATTTTTTTCCCTTCCGGAGACCTAATCCCCCTCTCTTTTGTTCTCACTCTTGTTCTCTAGGCATTAAGTGTCACTGAAACCCTGATTAAACCCTTGGAAAAATTCAGAAAAGAGCAACTCGGAGCTGTAAAGGTTTGTGTCTAATTTGAGCACACTTGTAAACAGCAAGCGCCATGCCTCTGCTGCTTCATTGTACACTTGATTCACATTTGGCAGCTTTGCAAGAGATGCTGGAGTGAACCATCTGTTGTTTTATGTTTTAAATGTGCTTCTTCCCCTCGGGGGATGTGGAATTGAAAACAAAACAAAAACACCTGGACAGGGTAGTAAAACCTCTAGTCATCTTCTTTGGCTACACCTTTCCATATAGAACTTTAAAAATATCTTTAAGCAAACAACACATTTTCTCTGATTAGAAGGATCTTATCACCATAGGGAGTGTAGTTATTTCCCTGAACTCCTTCTCAGTGTTAGGGAGGAGTGTGGTTTCTAATAGGATTTAGGATTAGAGACCCTGCTACACTATGATGCCTTTGAAACGGGGAAGAGAATAGTAAGTTACTGGGATGTGATTTCCTTCAATTTAACAAAAATTTACTGAGCTTCTATTATGTGCCAGTATTGTTGTAGGACTGTGCACTGTATTGGAGTGTGGTGCTGGGAATTCAAGATGAGTGAACCACAGACTCGGCGGCACTCAGGGACCTGGGATGAAGCCATGATTTCCAGGAATAATGCAGTGGTTTTGCCACAAGGATCCTGGGATATGTTTAACAATTTCCAAAGTTTGTGAGCTGAGCTTTGAAATGATCCTAGAGAAATAGTTTCCGTTGGTCTTTCCTGAATTTTATGTGTGCACTTGAGGGAGAAAATGTAGCATTTCCATGTTGTTGTTGATCATTTTTGGCTTGGTCCAAGGAAAAAAGAGGTAATGTCAATTTTAGGTAGGAAAGAGGGTTTTTATATTTGTATTATTTTCCCCTATGTGGCTGGGAATATGAGGTTTTTTGTTTGTTTGTTTTTTGTTTTTTTTTTTTAATTTTCTTAAAAGAAATTGTTAAAAATCCCTTGGTACAAGCTGGGTGTTTTGGCTCATATCTGTAATCCCAGCACTTTGGGAGGCTAAAACAGGAGGATTGCTTGAGGCCAGGAGTTCTAGACCAGCCTGGGCAACAACATGAGACCCCTGTCACTACAAAAAATAGAAAAATTAGCTGGGTGTGATAGTGCACGCCTGTAGTCTCAGCTACTTGGGAGGCTGATGCAGGAGGATTGCTTGAGTCAGGAGTTTGAGTCTGTGGTGAGCTGTGATCCTGTCACTGCACTCCAGCCTGGGTGAAAGAGTGAGACCCTATCTCAAAAAAACAAAAAAATCCCTTGATACAAATATACTTTGGGACATCAGTAGCTATAACTACTGTAATTCCTGTACTTTGGGAGCCCGAGTTGAGGGGATTCCAGAGCCCACAGGTTCGAGAACAGCCTGGGCCACTTGGTGAGACCTCATCTCAACAATAAATAAAAAAAATTAACCAGGCATGGTAGCTCCAGATACTTGGAAGGCTGAGGCGGATAGTTCCGGGTACTTGGAAGGCTGAGGCGGAAGGATCGCCGGAGCCCAGCAGGTCGAGGCTGTGGTGACTGTGAGTGTGCCACTGCACTCCAGCCTGGGTGATGGAGTGAGACGCCAACTCAGAAAAATAAAAAATAAAAATAAAAATAAATCGAATGGATGATAAGGTTATATGTGAAGATTATATTACAGAAATGAAAGATGAGTATGAGTCAGTCAGTCAATCTATTTTCTTATTATTGGCCATCCACCCTCCTGAGTGTTACACGTTTCTGCCCTTGAACCTTCTGTTGACTCCTCCCTGCTCCCACCCCAAACTTTCCCAACTTCTGATGTTATACTTGTTTAGACTGTATCCTGCAAAGCAGCTTGCAAAATAAATTGCACGTTGACAAGGAGAAACAATTTCAGTGGTTTAGTGTATGCTTGAACTACTGAGTGACCAACTCCATCCTGAAGTCTCATTTCTTTATTCCTTCTCGTTCGGTGGGCTTCAGGCTTATGAAGGGTTTATCCTACAGTCTGGTTCAAGGCTACATGTGTGTTGGCTGTCACACCTGTCAGTGTTACCTGTGAGGAGCCAGTCGTTGTGGGTTGTAGGAAGAAGCCCTTTTTCCTGGTAGTTTTGTGCATGATGATAAACTGTGTAGAAAGGTGGCTGTTTGGGTTATACAGAGCTATATAAAATCTGTCTCTTTCATGAGGTTGTTACCTCTTTGAGAGAGAAGACTGTGCTTTATTTTCTACCAGCGTACACACTGACTTATTGTATGTTCTCTAATACATAACCTGTTCAACTGATAATTCTAATTTTATTTTGTTTTGAGTCAGGGTTGCACTCTGTTGTCCAGGCTGGAATGCAGTGGTAGCATGATCATGGCTTATCCTAGCCTCTAACTCCTGGGCTCAAGTGATCCTCCAGCCTCAGCCTCCACATAGTTGGAACTACAGGCCTGTGCCACCAAGCCCTGCTAATATTTTGATTCTCTTTTTGTAGAGAGGAGGTCTTGTTATGTTGACCCTGATGTCTACAAATTCTGATGTGGGCAACTTTTAAGAATTTTTTTTTTTTAAATCCCCACATGAAAACTGTTTCATGCTACTTTTAAAAAGTTCTCTGTCCTAAGAGAGTAAGGTCTTTTGAAAGTCCCATGTAAGCAGATTAATCAGAGGAACAAGACTATGTGCTTGTCAAAATTATTATTGACTGTTTGGGAAGCACAGAAGTAGAAAGTAATCAAATGCCAAATTAAAAACCTTTTCTACTTCTAGAATTATCAGTTGAGGCCGGGTGCAGTGGCTCATGCCTTTAATCTCAGTACTTTGGGAGGCTGAGGTGACAAGGTTGCTTGGGCTTAGGAATTTGAGACCAGCATGGGCAACATCATGAGACCTCATCCCCCCCACCCAAAAAAAAAATCAAACAATTAGCTAGGTGTAGTGGTGTGCACCTGTTGTCCCATGTCCCAGCTACATAGGAGGTTAAGGCTGGAGGATCACCTGAGTCCAGGAAGTTGAGACTGCAGTGAGCCATGATGGTACCACTGCAGGACGGCTGCCAGGCTAGATGACAGAGTGAGACTCTGATTAAACAAAACAAACAAACAAACAAACATCAAGGTAGTTATTTACCCAGTTATTCCAGTTTAGGGTTGCGGGTGACTGGAGCCCATCCCAGCAGCTCAGGGCACAAGGTGGGCACCAGCCTTGGACAGGTGCCATCCCATCACAGGGTGACTCACACACACCCATACTCCTTGGGCGGGGGCTAGGTAGACACGCCAGCTCACTGACATGCACATCTTTGGGATTTGGGTGGAAATCAGCACCCAGAGAAAACCCACACAGACACAAGGAGAACGTGAAACTCCATATGGGCAGTGGCCGTAGCCAGGAATCAATTTCTTTCCCCCTCCTCAATGCTATAAGGAAACGACATTATTCAAGGACCCTGCCGTATTTAAGTTCTTCCCTGGATTAAGTCAAATATTAAACATCACTTAATGTTTACACTTCAAAAATAAACCTTTTAAATTTCCTCATCCTAGAAAATTGTAAAATACAGAAAGTTCAAAAAAAGTTATCTAGAAACTTGAGAAATGTTATCCCCCTTCCAAAACAAAATAAAACAATGAAAAAAGTCTAGTCCCCTGTAGAAAAATGGGCAGTTCACTGTTTTGTTCAAATGTTTGTGAATTCTTTGTGTTCTTTATCTGTTTTTCAAGGGAAGTATTAATGTGTGCTTTTAGCAGAAAGTTGCTTCTTGAAGAATGTTTGTGTGTTAAGAATGTTTACTGGCCAGGCACGGTGGCTCAAGCCTGTGATCCCAGCATTTTGGCAGGCCGAGGTGAGGGGATTGCCTGAGCTCACGGGTTTGAGACCAGCCTGGGCAACTTGGCAATATTTCATCTCTGCAATAAATCAAAAAATTAGCCGGGTATGGTAGTGCACACCTTTAGTTCCAGCTACTTGGAAGGCTGAGGTGAAAGGATCACCGGAGTCCAGCAGGTCGATGCTGGGGTGGCCGTGAGCGTGCCACTGAACTCCAGCCTGGGCAATGGAGTGAGACTCCAACTCAAAAAAATAAAAAAAAAGAATGTTTACTTACGTTCTTGCAATATTGGTTGCAATTCATTCCCTCACTTGGTCTTTGATTGTAGCTTCATGATCATGTACTTTTTGTTACCTAGAAGCTCTTATGTTTCCCATTTCTTTTTTGCTTAGAAGGTCTTCTCTATTTTGAGATCTAATGAAAATATGCTCTTTTCTGTGGCTTCATTTTTGACTTGTGGACTCTTTTAATCCATCTGGAATTAATTTTGATATGAGGTTGAGTTTTCTTTCTGTTTTGTCGTTCAGCAATCATATCAGCACTGTTGGTCGAATAATCTTTTCTTTCTTTTTTTTTTTTTTAATAACCCAGTGATTTGTGATGATACCTTTATATATATTTTTACTTCTAATCGTATTCTAAAGATCTGATTATTTGAATTGTGGTTCTTAGGTTCGTGAATTCCTCTAGCATTTATACAATGTATGCCTCATTTGACCCCGGGTGCCGCTTTAAGTAGTAGCTCTTTTTAACTTTTTTTTTTTAAACAAGTGCAGTTTTATAACAGATTACAAGCTGACTTCCTATGAGTCATATTTAACTTATACACATAAATTATGTTTGGCATACTTATGCTGTTAAAGTGAAAAAAAATTGTTACCACTGTATAAAAGTCACTGTTTATTTTTCAGCTAGTCCAGAAAAATCAGAAAATGCAGCCTGCAGACTGAGCCTGTATTCTCACCAGGGGAACATCTGCTGGGGTTGAATTATGGCCGCCTCCCCTCTAGAGTGGATGGGGCTGTCTGGTTTTCCTTGTCTCCCCCATTGCTGATTTCGTTTCTCTCCCAGCTTGTTACAACCATGAGATTATTGCCTGACCCAGACTTACTTGAGTTTGAAATGTATGATTTATAAGAAACATTTTCATATTGTATTTACCTTGATCCGTAATGGAACTTTCTGGATTATGTTGCTCAGTTTATATATATTTCCTATAATGCAGGCTTGGGGGAGAAAAGCTCCATTCTTTATGGAAAACTACTTGAACAGTCTCCTTTAAAGTTTGTATCATTCCAGCACCAGAAATTATATGAGCACAAAGAAACAGAACAGAATAAAATTCTGTAATGCCATTAAGAACAAAAGCAGGAAGAAATGACGGTCCAAGTTTTAAAATTCAAAAACAAAACACAGCAGCATTTGTATAATGCCTTACCATGTATAAATGGATGTATTTCCACTCCACAGTCGGTGGGTGTAGTGTTGTTGCTTGGCTAAATTCTCTTTTCACCAAACTCGATGTCTCCGTTTTCTTTCATTGCCCACTTTCCCCACGTGTTAATTTGCATCCCCTACTCTTGCTGAGTGTGTGGGGTGTTTTAACTGCTGATTTCAGCATCACTCCTTCCTTTGTCTCTTTCTGTGGTTCAGATGAAATCAAATAAGTGAGTAAAAATGCTTTCGGTTTTCTTGGCAAGCGCTGATCTGTAAAGGTGGTGAACATTTATTTCTAGCTGTGTGATCTTGCATTGCAGCGTCTTGGGGTAAATGCACAGAACGTGGCTTCCATTTTTGTTTGGTTTAAACTCAAGAAACTGATGCTCAGAGAATGCTCTGACTTTGGTACAGAGTAAAAATGGCTAGGACTTGAACTTGAGTCTTCTGACACCTAATTCAGTGTGTACTCCACAATACCAACTTTTTAAAAAAATTCTTTTTAATTTTCTTAGTTTTAAAATTATTTTTATAGAGATGAGGCTTCACTGTGTTGCCCAGGCTGACCTCGAACTCCTGGGCTCAAGCAGTTCTCCCAGCTTGGCCTCCCAAAGTGCTGGTATTATAGGCATGAGTCACTGCACCTGGCCCCCAACTTTTAAAAATAGTGGAAATTTTGAGGTAATGGGCATATATTTGTTACAGTTTATTTTTCATTAGTCATTAAAATAGCTGATGAAGAGCATAATAATACAAAGTAGAAAAAAGAGAGTAACCAGGCTGGGTGCAGTGACTCAGCCTATAATCTCAGCTCTTTGGGAGGCAGAGGTGAGAGGATTGCCTGAGCCCCGGGGGTTCGAGACCAGCCTGGGCAACTTGGTGAGACCTCGTCTTTACAATAAATCACAGTGGTTTATTATACCCCACAATTTTAAAATAAAAAAATTTGAAAGTTAAAAAAGAAAAAAAAAAAATCACAGTGGTATGGGTCTGTATTTCCAGCTACTTGGAAGGCTGAGGCGGAAGGATCGCCACCCAGCAGGTAGAGGCTACGGTGGCCGTGAGTGTGCCACTGCACTCCAGCCTGGGTGACAAGAGTGAGACTCCAACTCAAAACAAAACAAAAAGCAAAACAAAACAAAAAAAGAGAGTAACCACATCATATTAATACCTCACACTTTAAAAAAAATTGTAAATTCAAAAAAACCTAGGGCATAAGGAAAAATAAAGTCCCTCTATTTCAGCAAATGATTGACTATTAAGTAAAAGAGGTTAAAATAAAACTATGATTCTTTTTTTTATTTCTTACATATAGATGAACCAAAGGATCACAGAATTTTAAGATTGTTTTTAAGAATGAACCAGTACAAAAAGATCATGAGCTCTTTGATAAGAAAACATAGGTTCTGTGTGGTAAAATGGTTTTGTTTTTTTTTTTTTTTTTTGAAGTTGTGCAACTAATTGGCAAATAGGCTTGGAGTAGAAAAGGGAAAAGTCTAGTAGAAAATCTCTTAAAGGAGAAAAGGTCAAGAGTTTCTCCTCCATCGATGCGGGTTAATTTAGGGTCTTCAGGGGATCAGGCAGAGGACATACCATCGTCCCAGGTTCCCAAAACAGCAGTTCACAGCACACCATGTAGTGGAAAAAGTGATAACGCAAAGAAGTAGAGAACTAATGTGTTTTGTTTAACTTCTTTGCCTAGCTGGAAAAAGATTATACGAGAAAAGGCTGGAATAGTTCATTATTTTTGCTTTGAAAAATAGGGAGGAGAATGTTCCTTTTCAGGAGGGGTGGAGCGTTAGGGAGAATTTGAAGTTAATAGAAACATTTTGACAACATGAGGCCACGGTGTGTTCTCATCCATATTCAAAAATGTTTATTAAAAGTCTACCAAGTTGGCAAACAGCTTTAGAAATAGCCTGTCTTCTCTGCATTTAAACAACTGGCTACTCGTTTTCTCAAAAGAAACCCTATAACAAAAGAAAATATGTATGAGTTCTAGGAAGTGCCTGAGAAATGTTTGTGATGTTAACCCAAGGATCTCAGTACCAGTATGTCAGTGTTATTTTAGGTCCTGTTGACCTATTATTACATCTTCTAAATCGTGTTACAGAAATCACCAGTAAGGTTGGGGAAGGAGATGACATTTTTTGATCAGAGAATCTTATTATTATACATCCCTAATCCTAAAATCTGAAATAGTTTGAATATCCCTAATCCTAAAATCTGAAATATTCCAAAATCTGAAACTTTTAGAGCACCAACATAATGCTACAAGTAGAAAATTCTGCACCTGACCCCTTGATTTCTCTTAGTTCAGTGTACACAAGCTTTACTTCATGCACCCAATTATTAAAAAGATTGTATAAAATTACCTGTGGGCTATCCATATGAGGTGTATATAAAGCATACTGAATTTTGAGTTTAGACTTGTATTCCATCCCCAAGATACCTTATTAAAATGTATGCAAATATGTCAAAATCCAAACAAAAAAACCTCAATTTGGAACTATTTCTGGGCAGAGAAGCATTTCAGATAAGGGACATTCAACCTGTGTTTGTATCAGGTAGTCATGGAAGGAGAGCTTTTCCAAGATGTTTTTTTCCAATGGTATTTACCAAAGTTTTTTTTAAAGCTTTATGTTCTTCTTCTTATGTATTCTCTTTTGTTCTTTTTGTGAGGGATGAATGACATAGCATTAATTCTTAATGCTGATAAATATGAAGAATTGAGAAATAATATACACTTAGAAGTCCATTAAAGGAAAAGCCTCTTCAATCCCAATATTATCTTGATGATTAATAAGATGTAAGCTGGGCGCAGATATGTTTTTTAGATAGCTTTGTCACATTCAGTGGTCTTTGTTTTATTTTCCGATATTTTTCATATTTTGAACTTCCCAGTGGATTAACTATGTGTATGCATTTTTTTCCTGTTTAATCATAGTACTTTGTGTTTCTTTTGATTTGCAGGAAGAAAAAAAGAAGTTTGACAAAGAAACAGAAAAGAATTATAGTCTAATTGATAAGCATCTGAATTTATCAGCGAAAAAGAAAGACTCACATTTACAAGAGGTATTCATTTTATTTTTCTGTTAATTTGTTTTTGAAATTTAATATGGGACATGTGTCTTTAAAAATGTGCTTTCCTTTTGAAAACTTTTCATCTGGTATTATATAGAGATAGATAAAAGTGGACAAGTATTGTCATAAATTAAGAGAAAGGAGTTCTTGTGAAACAAGACACAAAAGAATAAATTTGTCTTAGAGCGATTAATTCAGTATGGATACTACTGTACTAGTAAAATTTTTGATTCTATGCATTCTTTCACAGGAACAATCATTTTAAACAGCGTTAGTGAAGAACAGATATATTATTTGCAGGAATAGATTCATTAATTGGCTTTCAGGAGTTCTTGAAGAAATGAATTTAATAAGCTCATATTCCATTTCACTTTTATTTGAAGGCCGCATTAATCTTATTTAATACTGAGGATTCAGGAGGTTCAGCTTCATTGGGAGGAGAGCATCTGTTTTACTTGTGTTAACAGACTCATTTATTTTGGAGGGAGACGTATGTAAGGAGAAAGGAATTTATATCTTATCTTTCTTTTTCTGTTTCTTTCCTACCATTTGTTTTTCTCACTCACACACTGAAATGGAAACTCAGTTGTTGACAATTCGGAACATGTGCTTTTATTAAAAACAATGTTGTTTGCTGTTAGGATCATGCCTCATCCCACACAAGTGATTTATTTATTTTTCTCATGTGTTTTGAAACAAAAAAGGAATCTGGGTAGAATGTACTACTATAATATAAACTTATCGGCATATCATCAACATGATGCTAACAGCATGACTCTGGTATTAACCCGGGCTATATTCAAATGTAAAATATGTAGTTGCAAACTGTGTGTGTGTGTGTGTTGTTCTGACATAATTTGCATATGACATTTTCTTTGGTCTCTCTGATACCTTTGACTGACATTTGGATGGCACTTGACAGTTTATAAAAGAGGAAGGTGCCTTTATACCCCTAATCCTCACTACAATACTTTAGGTAGGGCTCCATACTTTCCTTGTTCTCTGTTATGTAGAAAGCCATGTGGTTGTTCTGCATGCTTCCTTGTCTCCCACCCTCTGTTAAATGACAGCTGTTGCCTTTCCAGGCCCTTGTTCTTCAGGCTCGTGGCTTTCTACCTGTGTTCTCTCTTCTCTGTTTCGGTGGCCTCGAGAAAATCTTCAATGCCCAAGAAAATGTCCAACTCCGTTTCCCTTGTAATTAGAGATCTTATCTTAAAGGTTTCCGAGGCAAAATATTTGGCATCCTTGACCTTCCTCTTGCACCCCACATCTGGTCCCTTATCATGTCTTCTTGAGCTCCAGAATAGACTCAGATGTGGCCACCTCTTATGACCCCCCTCTTCTCCAAACCCTTACGTGATCTGCTTGCCCCTTCCCCCCAACCCCCAGGACCAGCATACTCTGTGCTCTGCACCATGTTATGCAGGGGTGTCCAACCTTTTGGCTTCCCTGGGCTGCATCGAGTAAAGAGGAATTGTCTTGGGCTGCACATAAATTTTATAATATAGTTAGTGAATATATGTAATAAGACTTCTTTTATTTCTTAAATATAAAGTTTTTTTTTTTTTTTTGAGTTGGAGTCTCACTCTGTCACCCAGACTGGAGTGCAGTGGCTGCTCCTGGCCACTGCAACCTCGACCTGCTGGGCTCTGGCGATCCTTCCGCCTCAGCTTTCCGAGTAGCCAGAATTACAGGCATATACTACCACGCCTGGCTGATTTTTTGATTAATATAAGTTTAAAAAAAATGATAACAATATAAAACCAGTGGGAAATACCTTGTTTTTGTAAAATTAATCTATGCATGTCTGGTTCTAGGGAAGTGGTCACAGTTCTTAGTGAGATCTCAAGGTGCTCGTCAGAAATGTTTGTGTGAATTTTGTTCTTCGTGTGCTTCATAATTGAAAACAATTGTTCACAAATAGTGATGTCATGAACGAGACGTGATTGTGAGCTTTAAAAATGGAACTATGTGTGGGGCCACGAAGAAAATAAATGCTAAAAAACACATGATGTTAGAAGATTTTGTGAGGCTTTATTACGAGCTATCCTGGGATGCATGTGGCCCGTGGGCCTTGGATTGGACATGCCTGGTCTAATGGCTACCTCCAGAGGCTCCAGGGCCCACCAGATTTTACGTGATCTGCTTGTCACCATGTTATTTGTTCTTCCTTCTGTGAAGTTTGCTATGTTGTCCAGGCTGGTCTCAAACTCCTGGGCTCAAGCATTCCTCTCACCTCATCCTCCTAAAGTGCTAGGACCACAGGCATGAGCCGCCAATCCTGGCCAAAGTATGTTTTCAACCCAGGTCCTCATGCCTCACGCCTTCCAGTACTCTCTAATTAGAGTCACTTTATTAAAATCTTTCCCTGACTATCTTATTTAGAGTATCCCTCTTAGTCTTCTTTGGTTTATTTTTATTTTTTCATATTCTTATAACTTTGTGGCATACTATGTATTTGTTTATTGCATGACTTTTCTTTCCCACTAGAATGTAAGCTTCTTGACAGCAACAGCATCACTTTAATCAGGACTCTGTCCTCAGTGCCTAGAAGGGTACTTGTCAGGGAGTAGGGTGCTTAATATATATTGAATGAACACATGGGAAGGTTCTTGTACAGTGAGCTTGGGCTCTGGCAATTTCATCGATCCCATAGATAATTAAACTGCAGAAATTGGAAGAGTTCGTAAAGAAGAATAATGTCAGTTTCACTTAAATTACATATACTTTCCTTTCTTGCTCTTCACATACATATAAACTCTCACTTGAAACAGCCATCCCTTATAATCCTGAAGGCCTTAAGAGAAGGAAGTTGGTTTTTTAAAGGGGAAACTGTTAGATGAGGATGCTATTACTTTTGGCAGTGGCTATTGTGTTGCTAATCTTTGGTGAATTGAGTCGAGGTGCTCAAGGGAGTGATAAAAGTTGCTGAGAATAGTCCTGAGCAAAATAGCTTGCACAATTCATTGTTTCCTCCTGTTTCCCATGAATGACAGGAGAGAATTGTGGCACAACCCGTGCTGGCTGTTGTGATAATTCTGTCACGACCCGCTGCTCCTGCAGTGCTGTTTGTTGGTCATAATGGCTTCCACCTCCATCCACACCCCTAAATTCTACTTAATAAATTTGTACTGTAACAAGTATTGGATATTTGGGAAAATTCCTTTTCTGTTGATTTTAGAAGTCTATTTTTCCTTCCTGAGTAACCCAGTGGTAATATTTCAGGATAAATGTGACTAGAGAAGTAGATTGTTGAAATAACTTGAGACGGATCTATTCTCCTACATACATATTTATGGCAACAATGGCCAGAAATTAGATGATCATCAATGGAAATTGAATGGATGTGAAAAATGAGTGACTTTCGCTTGGTGTAATAAAAGGTATAGCCATGGCCTTTTTGACTTGGTCAGTCTAAAAGGAAAGCTTTGTGGTAAGTTAGGGCTGTCGGGGACCCCCAGGATTCTGGCGGTGAATCACGAACCACATGGCACAGCAGTTCTGGATTCTTAGAGCATTGAGCAGGTCCCCACCTGAGAGCTTGTGAGAGAAACTGCTAAAGAGAAAAGAGAATCTACTAAAAGACAAAACCATCTTGATAAATTGGGTGCTGGTGTAGTCTTCTGGAAAGACCTTTCCTGGTAATATTGTGAAGAAACCACCCTTCTCACGTCTTCATTTTATTAAACACTGCACAACATTACAGTGTGTTTGCTGAGGTTTGTGTGTGTTCATCACTGGTGGCTGAACTGTCAAACTCTGGTTTTCGGAGGCACAAAATTATGATTCTGAGGGGTGTTAGGTAGAAATTCTCACTTTAGCTTAGTTGCAATCTTATTATGTTTTAAGATTTTTTTTCTTAAAGCATTTGATGCTAAACTTTTTAAATTGCATGTTAAATACTTCTCAAAAACTTTTGGTTGTAAAATATGGATAACAAAAGTTTTGAATTTACCATTTTCCATTGTAGAGTTCAGTGGCAGTAAGTACATTTTCACGGTTGACAGTCATTGCCCACTATCTATCTCTGGAACTTTGTTCATCTCCCCAACCTGAAACTCTGTGCCGGTGGACAGTGGCCTCCCTATTCGCCCCTCGCTGCAGCCTCTGGCAGCCACCGGTCTATCTTGTATCCCTGGGAATTTGATGATTCTAGGGGCCTCACCAAAGTGGTGTAGAAGTTTGTGTCTCATTTATTTCATTTAGCATAATGTCCTCAAGTTTCTTCCATGTCATAGCGTGTGTCAGAATTTTCCTCTTTTTTAGGGTTGACTAATGATCCGTTGTATGTATATGCCACATTTGGTGTATACATTCACTCATGTCATTAGACATTTGGATTGTTTCTACCTTCTTATCCATGTGAATAATGCTGCTGTGAATGAAGGTGTACAGATATATGTGAGTGAAGGTGTACAGATATCTGTCTGAGTTCCTGCTTTCAATTCCATTGGGTAGATACCTAGAAGTGGGATTGCCGGAACATATGGTAATTCTATTTTTAATTTTTGAGGAACCTCCATACTGGTATTTTTTGTGAGTCAGTGTCTCACTCTATCGCCCAGGCTGGAGGGCAGTGGCACAATCATGGTTACCATAGTCTTGACCTCCTGGACTCAGGTGATCCTTCTGCCTCAGCCTTCCAAGTAGCTGGGACTGCAGGCATTCACCACCGTGCATGGCTAACTTTTTGATTTATCATAGAGACAAGGTCTCGCTAAATTGCCCAGATTGGTCTCCAACCCCTGGGCTCAGGCAATCCTCTTGCCTCTGCCTCCCAAAGCACTGAGGTTATAGACATGAGCTCTGTCATACTGTTTTTCCAAGCATATACACCATCTTACTTCTCCTCACCAGTGGTGCACAAGGGTCCCAATTTCTTATATTCTTACCAACACCTATTTCTTTTTTGGACAGTAGCTTTTCTAATGGGTGTGAGGTGCTATCTTCTTGTGGGTTTGACTTGCATTTCCCTGATGATTAGTGATGTTGAACATCCTTTCATGTGCTTATTGGACATTTGTATATTCTCTCTGGGGAAATGCCTAGATAAATACTTCTAAGAGTATAGTAGCTAAGTTGGGAAAAATACTGCATGATGCCTTATAAGAATGGATTCTAGGCTGGGCGTGGTGGCTCAAGCCTGTAATCCCAGCACTTTGAGAGGCCAAGCTGAGCGAACTGTCTGAGCCCACAGGTTCGAGAACAGTCCGGGCAACTTGGCGGGACCTCATCATTACGATAAGTCAAAAAAATTAGCCAGGCGTGGTAGCATGTGCCTGTAGTTTCAGTTACTTGGAAGACTGAGGTGGAAGGAATGCCAGAACCCAGCGGGTCGATGCTTGGCCGTGAGTGTGTCACTGCACTCCAGCCTGGGTGATAGAGTGAGACTCTGACTCAAAAAAAAAAAAAAAAAAAGGGATTCTAGGACGGGAATTCTTTTGCCAGTGTCTTCAGTACAATTGTACTCTTCTCCCACTTCCTTTCTAGTTAGGCAAGAGAAGCTGGAACCCTTTTTTGGAATGGTCTCCTGACCACCTGGTGCCCCCTTTACTCCCAGGGGATCAGGCATTGTGAGGGCTTTGGAGTGTGGCTTGCGGCGGATGGGTGTCCAGCCTTGACCCGCCTTTGAGAGCCAGGTTCTTGAGATATGCCGCCATGGCTGCCACTTCCTACCTGCTGCTGTCACTCCCTGACCACTGTGGTGACAGGAATTTCCCCAACGCTCTCTCAGGCTGATTTTATTCTTAAAGGAGTTGTTCATGGAGATGATGTTGGTGTGATTGTGATTCTATGAAGTCCGACAATTCGGTTCACGAGTCGTCCTAGAAAAAGTGCTACATACCTCACTGCTGCCGAATATCACTATGGTTACCTTCAAAGGACTTCTTTGGGAACTGTTGCCGGTGCCTAGTCCACCCGTCAAAGCAATTTTGCAACTCTTTCTGGGAGGGCCATCAGAGCTGTTGTTATTTGTTGAGGTCTGACAATTAAATTTGCAAACTTGGCCACATGCGCTTATGTTGGCAGCACTGTACAAATAACTGTATTAGAACACCCTCCCTACTCAGCTGATCTGGCCCCAGTGACCTTTTTCTTTACCCGAACATAAAGGAAATATTGAAAGGGAGACATCTGATGCCATTCAGGACCTCAAGGGTAACAGCTCAGATGGCCATTCTAGGAAAAAAGTTCCAAAAACTGCTTTGATGGGTGGACTAGGCACCGGTGTCAGTGCATAGCTTCCCAAGGGGAGTGGTTCGAAGGTGATCGTAGTGAGAGGCAGCAATGAGGTATGTAGCACTTTTTCTAGGCTGACTTCACGAACTTAATTGTCAGACCCTGTATGTGTATGGTTCAGCCTGGCGTTTCAGTTGTGACTGAGGTGAGTTTTTCATGAAGAGAAAAGCCTGTTTGATCTTCCGTCCATTGGGGTCAATCTCAACATACAAGGCAGGGGTCAGCAAACCTTTTCTGCAGAGCATCTGACAGCAACATTTTCGACTTCTGGGGACCAAAAGGTCTGTGTTGCAACTTCCCAATTCGGCTGTTGTCTCAGGAAAGTAGCCACAGTCAGCACACACATAAATGGCCATGATTGTGCCCCAGTACAACTTTATTTACAAAAGCAGACACATAGCAGATTTGGCCTTGGCTGTATTGCTGACCTCTGATACAGAGTTTCACTTCTCACTCTCTCCATTTGACTAACCTCAGATATTTTAACATAGGCAGACGTCCAAGTGGAGCAAAACCGGCAACACTTTTATGAACTGTCTCTTGAATATGTGTGTAAGCTCCAGGAGATTCAAGAAAGGAAGAAGTTTGAGTTTGTGGAACCTGTGAGTATGACAGCAAGTTGTTTGCTAGTAGGTTTTTGCAATATAATAGAAGCATTTTTCTTCCCAGCTCTAATTTGTGGTTTATAGTTTACAGTTATTAGAGGCCATAGTGTATCAACATAGAGGAAGACATGACTGAAAAGGGTGGGCCGGGCGTGGTGGCTCAAGTCTGTAATCCCAGCACTTTGGGAGACAGAGGCAAGAGGATGGCCTGAGCTCAGAGATTTGAGACCAGTCTGGGCAACTTGGTGAGACCTCGTCTCTACAATAAATCCAAAAAATAAGCCGGGCGTGGTAGTGCATGCCCATAGTTCCAGCTACTTGGAAGGCTGAGGTGAAAGGATCGCCAGAGCCCAGCAGGTCAAGGCTGCGGTAGCCTTGAGCATGCCACTGCACTCCAGCCTAGACAACAGAGTGAGACTCTGGACTCAAAAAAAAAAAAGAGTGAACACAGGTAGCTGTGAAGTCAAGGATTCCTCTCTAAGTCGGTGGTTCTGAGCTGTATTTGCACAGCAATATGTAATGAATATTATTCCTGTTGTCTCCTGATCTCAAGGACTACAAGCACTTGTAATTTCTGCCATCTTGATATATTGACCCTTTAGAAATTTCTCTGAAAGTAAAATCAGAAGGTAAGTGATAGTAGGTTGTTTATGATATAATCTTTATTCAAGTTTGTTTCTAAAGCAAGTGCACCAGTTCAGACTTTTAAAACACTTATTTGTGACATGAATTCTAACACAACTCGCAATGTTTGTGACAAGCTAGGTTGTATAGCGGTATATGGAATGTTTGAAGGAATTTTGTAAGCATTTCCTTGTGCTTATATTAGAAACACATGATTTCTGTTTGTGATTATGTATATGTTTTCTAGCTAATCACACGTTAAGAGGTAGGTGTATATATATATGAATATATGCATCTTAATCAAAATGTAAAGAATATTTCACAGTGCGGGTAAGTTGAGAAACACTGGAATTCATAATGTAGACATTTTTGTGTTCTGTTTTTTTCTTAAGTTGCTTTATTGAGATATAATTCACACACTATATCATTTGCTTGCTGTGTGCGTGAGTTTTGGAACCAAAAGGCAGGTAATGATTACAGTAAGTCCCCTACATATGACCCTTCCAGTTGCCAACTTTCAAAGATGCGAACATGACTGTTTTATGTATTACTTATCTCCACTAGGTGGCAGTATAGCCTGTTAAATACATACAGTACTACCTAGGCTAACTTTTTGGGCCTAGTACTATGTACCTAGGCTAACTTTTTGGGCTTAAAATAAATTAGACTTACAAATGTGCTCTAGAACGGAACTCATTCGTTTGTATGTTACTGTAATTAAAAATTAGCATTCAAGGAGCTATGGTCTAGTTAGAGTAATAGAGTTAACCTAAATTAAACAATTAGAGAAAAAGTAGACCTCCTTAAAACTACTTTATAAAATAATAATTATGATCTGCATTTATTGGGCAATTTACAATGTTCATTTATCATTCAAGTAATTGTCCTAAGTACTGTACTGTAGTCATGCATTTATTTATTCCACAGAATAACTCAATGCAGAGGTACTTTAATTATCCTGCTTAGCAAATGAAGAAATTGAAGTAGAGAATGTTTTTAGTAATTTTCTCAAGGTCCCCTAGCAAGTCATTGGGAATGGACACTGCTGGCCCTTGGATGTCAGAGCCCCATGTTATGTACCATCATACTGTGTGGCATTCTGAAGAAAAGAAATTTCAAGATCTCACTTATTTGTGGGGCTTAGACAGCAACCCTTTAATTAAGGGGCAGGTTGGGAGTTGGTGGAAAACGAAGGATTTAATTACCAGCCTGTGTCTGCCCTGGGCAAGTCACTGAGCCTCTTGCCCCACTGGTTGCCACCGGAGAGAGCCTGAGCTCTTTGAGTCAGTGATTTTACTTTCTTACAGAGTGTATCAACCTACAGCAACAAGATTTCAATTATAAATAAATATTGAGATTCTCTTGGTGAAAGAGGACAAATGAGTGACTTAGAACTCCACTTTTCCTGTGGAACATGCTACGAAAATTGTCTCATGGCTATGATATTTAAGAAAAATAGCATGGCTCGTTTTCAAAAAAGACCAATGAATGGATAATGTGTACTTAGGTTTGCTAGAATACGAGTGACTTCTTTTTAAATATTTTACATCAGTGGAGTAACAGTGAGATGAGGGGGAAATTGTTGGCTGTTTAAGTTTTATTGTGCTAATGTTCCCTTTTCTCCTTTATCTCAGATGCTGTCATTTTTTCAGGGGATGTTTACTTTCTATCATCAGGGCCACGAACTTGCCAAAGACTTCAATCACTACAAAATGGAACTACAGATCAACATTCAGAACGTAAGGAAATGGAAGCCTTCTGGTACAGATAACAAGATGTTTGAAATACCTATTTTTCGTTTACTTGGCGTGCGAAAAGCCTGAAACTAAGAGCAGGCCGATCTGTGGGTGCTGAGAATCTGAGGTTATGTTGCCACCTTCTGGTCAGTTCCATGTGTGACAAAGGGCTGTTCAAGCTAGTTAAGGCACAGGAAATTCTGCCACCTGGCGGCTCTTCCTGCACTTCCTGGGACAGTTCTGAGGAGGGATAATCTTCGTTAACTCTAAATCAGCTATATATGAGACAGACAGAGGAGCACGCCACTGAAGACTTAAGGCATTTACATTATGAGGAACTAAATTTCTTTTGTTAACTGTGCATCTTAATTTTTTTTTTTTTTTTTTTGAGTTGGGGTCTCACTCTCACCTAGGCTGGAGTGCAGTGGCATGATCACAGCTCACTGCAGCCTCGATCTGGGCTCAGGCAATCCTCTAGCCTTAATCTCCTAAGTAGCTGGGACTACAGTTGTGCACCACCATGCCCGGCTAATTATTTGATTTCTTGTAGAGGTGAGGTCTGGCTATGCTGCTCAGACTAGTCTTGAACTCCTACGCTCAAGGGATCTTCTCGCTCTGACCTCTCCAAGTACTAGGATTATAAGGCATGAGCCACCGTGCCTGGCCTGTATTTTGATTTTTTTATTCCCAGATAGACTTATAGTTCAAGTGGGGTTTTCTCTACATTTTATGCATATTCACCAATGCATTGGTGCTCATAGTTATTGGTTTTTATTATTTTCTTTTGGAAAATATATGCTATCTGTCATGTCTTGGATAAAGAGATTTAGGAGAATTTTATCTATTAGGCAGGATGCTGTATGTGATTTTTGTGCAGGGGGTGGATCATTTTCTCAACACTTTAGTGGATCCTAGAATTATCCTAATTGAAAAGCTTATTAGAGTATGTTTAGCTTTGTTAGAAATTGAGCATGATAGCTTTGTAACACACTCATAGCATATACTACAAAATGAATGGGTAGGACTCTCTGGTGTTCATTACCTGCCTTTGGTTTCTTGAAAAATTAGGAGTTGAGCATGTGTAGATTTTTTTTTTGCATATATTGTTTCCAATTTTTTTCTTTATTCTTCCTTATACTTAGGGATGGACATGATAAAAACCTCTTGTTTTTGTAACTTATGTAGAAACTTTTCTTTGTAGATTCTTTGGGCTTTCAGGTAGGCTAATGGTCATAGAGTCCTTGAGTAGACATTTTTTCTTTTCCTGCTGCTGTTGTCTCAAGGTAAGTGAAGAGAGTTATAAAATACGTGGTATGACTATAATGAGACAAAATTGAAAAATCCAAAATGTACATGTGGCGATTACTTCTGACCACCTCAGAGTTGTCCCTGTAGTCAGTAGAATATTTACTCCAATAATGACATTTTTCAGAATACTTTTGAAGGCAGCAGAACACAGTTTTGTCAAAGGAACATTTGATAGTTTCAAAGATAAGATTATAATTCTGATTTTTTTTTCCTTCACTCATTGGCTATATGAGCTAGAAATTCAGTTTTCTGTCTAGACCTCTTCTGTCAAGTTGAGGGCTGGCCCGGATAACTTACAGGCAGGACTGCGGGGACCAATGTGAAATGAAAAAAAAATGGGGCCCCTTATTAAGAATTAATTTGAGTTTCAGGACAGAAATAGTAGGGTATTAAACCAAGTAGGATACTTCTGAGAACAGGGCCCTGCCCCTGGAGCCAACTTTACCTCAAGCCCTGAGGTGAGGTGTGGAGAGACATCAGGCTCCTGGGGCCTTTGGTGAAACTGCCCCTGCATAGCTTACTTATGTGTGGAGGTACGGTTTTTGTTTTTATTTTTTGTTTTTGAGTTGAGGTCTCACTCTGTTGCCCATGCTGGAGTGTGGTAGCATGATTCCGGCTCACTGTAGCCTCACCCTCCTGGGCTCAAGCTACCACACCCAACTAAGTTTTTGGACTTTTTGTAGAGTTGAAGTCTGACTATATTGCTCAGGCTGGTCTCGAACTCCTGAGTTCAAGGGATTCTCTCGCCTCGGCCTCCCAAAGTGCTGGGATTACAGGTGTGAGGCACCATGCCTGACCTGGAAATACGTTTTTAACACACCTCTGGGGAAGAGGGCATCTAGTTACTTTACAGAAACCAAAATAATTTCAGAGAGATACCTGTTTAGATGGGAATGAGCGATACTTTGTCATGAAATCTTACAAACAAAACTTGAAGGTGTCATTCGAAATGTTTCCCAGGGCGCCTACCCCTCTGGTCCTGCAGCGTGGCCCAGTCACCTTTTTCCCCACCCTGGCTCTCCGACCACTGCTCCCAGCTCTAATCATCCACCACTGAGGCGCAGCCTGCAGCACAGCATGGATCCTGCTGTCATAACTGCCCTCCAGTGCCATGTTGCAAAGCAGGGCCTGCTGGGCTCCTGGGTAGAATTGCACTTTTTTTTTTTGAGTTAGAGTTTCACTCTGTTACCCAGACTGTAGTGCAGTGGCTGCTCCCGGCCACCACAGCCTCGACCTGCTGGGCTCCGGCGATCCTTCCGCCTCAGCCTTCCAAGTAGCTGGAACTACAGGTGCGAGCTACCACACCTGGCTAATCTTTTTTGATTTATTGTAGAGATGAGGTCTCACCAAGTTGCCCAGGTGGGTCTCAAACCCGCGGGCTCAGCCAATCCACTCACCTCAGCCTCCCAAAGCGCGGGATTACAAGCTGAGCCACCAAGCCCAGCTAGAATTGCATTTTAGTAGTAATGAGAATGGGAGCAGTGTTCCAGCCTCAGTTTCTGTTTATAATGATGACATGGAAAAAAAATACTGCTGGTTGAGCAGCAAGAATCTGGACAAAGTAGCTCCAAGAGTTCTCACTGTGACAGCCCACCTCACTCACAAACACCACAGGATACTAACAGAACTTCTGAAATAGACACCCATAGCATTGGAGAGAAAGTTCCCAGTCCGAAGAAGATTACATTGAGAGAAGGAAAGAAGTTGAAAGCATCTTGAAGAAAAACTCAGACTGGATCCGGGATTGGTTGAGTTAGCCAGAAAACATTCCCTGCGAGGAGTTCCTCTTTAAACACCCAAAGCGCACAGATACTCTCCGCATGAGAAACACAAGTGTTCTGAAGAAAGGGGGTATATTCTTAGTGGAATTTCTAAACGTGTTTCTTCCGTCTCTGCTGCTGTTTCATCTGCTGGCCATTGGATTGGGGATCTATATTGGAAGGTGCCTGACAACCTCCACCAGCACCTTTTGATGAAAAATTGGGACCGGGCTTGGTGGCTCAGCCTATAATCCCTGTACTTTGGGAGGCTGAGGCGAGTGGATTGCCTGAGCCCGTGGGTTCGAGACCAGCCTGGCCAGCTTGGTGAGACCTCATCTCTACAATTAAAAAAAAAAAAAATAGCTGGACATGGTAGCGCACACCTGTAGTTCCGGCTACTTGTAAGACTGAGGTGGAAGGATCGCCCGAACCCAGCAGATTGATGCTGGGGTGGCCATGAGCATACCACTACACTCCAGCCTAGGTGATGGAGTGAGACTCCAACTAAAAAAATAAAAATAAATAAGTAAAATAAAGGATTGGAATCTGACTTTGTTTAAACAGTGGGATTCTATCTGAGCTTGCACCGTAGCTAACTGAAAAGCAGTTAGGGTCCTTGGGTGACTGCATAACTTGTGTTCACTTGCTCTGTAAATGCCGCATTCCTAATTTAGTGAAATGAAAGAATAGACACTAAAATCATGCTGGCCTATAATTATACCTATGGGATCAATTAATAAGCATGCCAGACTGCAACAATTTCTTTGGATATTAGAGATAAACACCTAAGTATAAGTTTTAAGATACTAGTCATGACATATATAGTATCTTAAAAATTAACAATAACCTTAATTCAGTTAAAACACTTTATATTTCAAAAGAACGAATGACATTGATGTTAAAATCACTACCCTAAGGGGTTTGTCCAAAATATTGTGGCCTTATTCACACTGTTGTAGAAAATACTTTTAATTGAAATGGATGCAGGTTGTCTACTAAAGACTATGTGTAACTGTGCTAACTGTTCTTTATAAGAAACAAATAGAAGCCTAGGTACAGCTGCAGCCTCCACTGTAAGGTTCATACAGTAAGCTGTTCTTGGTTTTGCAATGGAAGGACTTTTTCAGCCTTCACATTCGGTTTTCTGTTGGAGGCACATCCTTATTATCTCTTATTCTTCATGCCCTTAGATTGCCGAATTTAATCCTATCCTTTGTGCCCAACTTTTGTGTGCTCTCAAAATCAGCTTTGATGCAAGCAGATCTGTATTTACTTTAAAAGACTGGAAATGGAAAAAAAAAATCTTTGTCAAATCCTTAAAAAAAAAAGTTTCATAGAATGATCTGGTTAATATCCTTGACATACTAAGAACTTACATAATGGGCAACAACATTCATTTCCTCTAGAGAGATGGGCAAACAACAATTTACTGAAAATAATCTTTTTTCTGTATCTTTCTTGGACTTAAGGAGAGTCTTCCATACATTTTCTGAAACCCTCAACCTTTTCTCCAGATATTCCTCTCAGTTTTATTCTGACTGTTTGTGGGGCTGGCCCTGCAGTTCTCTCTAGTTCTTTCTCTCTGCCTCAACTTCAGTGTTTGAGAACACTGGGTTTAGTATTGTTTTTGCTTTTCACCTTCACTTTTAGCTAACTCCTTTCTCTTCAGAAATACCAGCCGGGCTCGGTGGCTCAGCCTATAATCCCGCGCCTTTGGGAGGCTGAGGTGAGTGAATTGCCTGAGCCCGCGGGTTCGAGACCCGCCTGGGTAGCGAGACCTCATCTCTACAATAAATCAAAAAACTAGCCGGGTGTGGTAGTGCGTACCTGTAGTTCCAGCTACTTGGAAGGCTGAGGCGGAAGGATCGCCGGAGCCCAGCAGGTGGAGGCTGCGGTGGCCGGGAGCGGCCACTGCACTCCAGTGTGGGCGACAGAGTGAGACTCCAACTCAAAAAAAAAAAAAAGAAATACCAGCACTTTTGACACACAGGTCACTCATTCTGTATCATCTGCTATACCTCAGTGATGCTATAATTTACTCATTTATTGACCATTCTTCTCATTCCCTCATGATGTCAGTTTTAATTATAATAAGGGGAAGATACCAACCATATAAAACAACACGCTGTTGAACCCCCCCCAACTATATGTTATCCTTTGTGCTGTGTATATTTACGTATTTAAGGAAATATACTCTAATGTTAACACCACATCTTAGTGTTAACTATCCCTGGGTATGACTTTATAGATCATTTTAGTCAATATTTAGTATTTTATTATAGTAAAAAATTAAATAGCAAAACTATTTTATAACCAGAGAAAATGTAAAAGTTCCTTAAAAGTGAAAACAACCTATTTTTCCTCCCATCTTATTACATCTGTTCTGTTGTAAAAATGGCTAGACTTTTTTTTTTCTTTTTTGAGAGATTCAGTCATCATTTTCTATAATCTAGAGGAATACATGGAAAGCAAGAAGGTAGCAAGATGGCTTTTAGAACGTAGATTTTCCAGGAGAATGGAAATTGCATCAAAATGAAAGAATGTTTTAAGAAACTAATGTTAAATCTTTGTAATCTCTATCCCTGGAAGAATGTGGGGAAAGGAAGATGAGAATAAAATTCTTCTGGAAGGAAATATAACGTGAGAAATTTTAGAATTCACGACAAGTCCCTAGAAGATACCAAGAATGGCTAAGAAGTATTAAGAATATGAGTAAAATATTTTTATTACAATGTTATCATGAAAATAGGATGCCAAAGCAATAAACTTTTTTTTTTAGGAGATTAAGGTGATTACATCAAAATATGACTGTAGTTTTTTTCAGAGGGGATTATGGTTACTTTTTATTTTTATTTATTTATTTTTTAAGAGACAAAGTCTTGTTCTGTTGCCCAGGCTGGAGTCATTGCTCACTGCAGCCTCAAACTCCTGGGCTCAAGTGATTTGCCTCAGCTTCCCTAATAACTGGGACCACAGGTGTGTGCCACCACTCCTTGCTAACTTTACTTATTTCATTTTATTTTTATTGTAGAGACGGGGTCTTACTATGCTGCTCAGCCTGGCCTTAAACTCCTGGCCTCAAGTGACCTTCCCACCTTCGTCTCCTGAGTTGCTGGGATTATAGGCATGAACCACTGTACCCCGCTTGACTTTTTGTTCTGTTTATGCCTCTGCTTTTTGGCCCCAAAATAGGACAATGTGTGTACTATGTGTGTTCTTCTCTCTGTCTTATATAGCTTATTTTTTTAGATTTATTTTTTCACAAATCATAGGTTTCTTAAATACATAGATAGATGCAGGCGTAATAATACGTTTTTGTGTACATAAATACATGTGTGTATATACAAAGTCCACCTTTGAACAACGTAGGGATTAGGGGTGCGACCCCCTGTACTGTCAGAATCTGCATATAATTTTGACTGCCCCAGAACCTAACTACTAATAGCTTACCGTGGATCCGATACCATAGTTGATTAATGCAGATTTTGTGTTTTTATGTATTATATGCTGTAATTTTACAATAAAGGAAGCTTGAGAAGAGAAAATGTTACTAAGAAAATCAAGAGCAACCCTCTTAGGTCCCCTCCTGCTGTGGGAGCTTTTCTGTCCTCTCAATAAATCCTGCTTTTCTAAAAAAAAAAAAGAAAAAAAAAGAAAATCAAAAGGAAGAGAAAACAGATGTACAGTTTATGATGTGGAAGTGGGTCATTGTAAAGAACTTCATCCCTGTCTTTGCACTGAGGAGGCTGAGAAGGAGGAAGAATGTATGGTCTAAGTGTCTCAGAGGTGGAGGAGATGAAAGAAAGTCTGTGTATCAGTGGACACAGTTCATACCTGTGTTGTTCATGGGTCACCTGTGTGTATATACATTTCCTAAGTTGGCCTGCTGAGAGGACTTCGGAGCAATGGTACCTTCTTAGTGATGAACACGTTGTGCCCAGATCTTGGTTTTCAAATACTCCCTTCTACTAGAAGGAACAAGGGCTCCTTTGGAGAAATGACTGATTTCAGGAACAGGGAAGTATTAGGTGAACCTGGGATACCCTATCGGACCAGAAAGTAAGAAATTGCCCAGAGACTTGAGGAGACATGTCAGAAGACGTGGAGGCCGGTTTGAGGATCTGCAGGTGCTCACATCTAGGATCATTTGAGTATCAACACGAAGAATGGCATTATTGGATATGTCAGTGGTTTAAATAGACATGTGTATGCGCACACATATGTGATGGCTTCTCTACATGTGTGTGTATATTATACGTACATATGGGAAGGATTAGAAGGAGTCTCAGCAGAATAAAAAGAAGGGGAATAAGTTCAGGGTGAAATCACTATAAGATGAGGACAAGACAACCTGCAGACGTGAGAGAGAGGAAGAAGAGAGGGAACCGGTCATCAGCAAATGAGTTCTTAGACTCTTTGCAGCCTTGGACTTTCTTAAAGTTCATAAACATAAATTTTTAAATTTTTATTTTATTTTATTTATTTATTTATTCATTTTGAGTTGGAGTCCCACTCTGTCGCCCAGACTGGAGTGCAGTGGCCACTCCCGGCCACCGCAGCCTCGACCTGCTGGGCTCCGGCGATCCTTCCGCCTCAGCCTTCCAAGTAGCCGGAATTACAGGCATGCGCTACCACGCCCGGCTGATTTTCTGATTTATTATAGAGATGAGGTCTCGCTGCTGAGGTGGGTCTTGAACCCGTGGGCTCAGGCAATCCACTCACCTCAGCCTCCCAAAGGCACGGGATTACAGGCTGAGCCACCGAGCCCGGCTAACATAAAGTTTGTTAAAGCTTAAGTTTGTGTATAAAATAAACTTCTGCAGATAGGTTTTTTCCCCCGTTTTCCAATCTACATTTATCAGACTCTCCTTCCTCCTAGAAAAATATGTGCTGTTCTGCCATTTTTCCACTTGCAGGACCCTCGGCAACCTCTTTTATTGTAGGGAGGAGAGAGGAGAAATTTCAATAATAATTTTCCATCTCAGCTCCTCCACAGTTTCCCATCAGCAGTTTTTCGGTATTAATACAATTATTTTTGAGTGTGGATGAAAGAAATGTCCAGGAACTCGGTGATGCTGGCTCATCACAATTGCTGGGGTAATTCTGTCACTTCACCTTGCATATATGTTTTCGGTGTAGCTGTTGGACAGATATTGGCATCCCAACTCTCCTGGGTTTCAGAAATGTTATTTGTCTCTTCAGATATCACAGACACCATTTGTAGGTGAGACTTTTTTTCTCCCCCCTGCTTCTTTCTTCAGGGAAGAAATGTCATTTTCAAGCACAATTACCATGAACTGGAAAAACTGATTACTCACATTTATTAGTTTGCAAAAAAAGAATTAAGTTTTTTCAGATTCTGAATACTTACAGATTGCTAATGTCTTAGTAACAACTTGAGTCAGATTGGTTGTTGCAAAATAAACATTTTCCAGGTAGATATTTGATGACTTTTTTTAAAGCTAACATTAGTTATAGTGTGAGGCTTGAAGGCAGGAATTTTTATGTTGGATACTAGAATTATTCATGGTGTTAGAAAGCTTTAAAAGTAAGTAACCTCTTGTTACTTTGGCTTATATTTTTCTATTCACTGTTTTGCCACTATTTTATTTTCTCTGTAAATGAATCTCAATGAGGAGACACATTGGAAAGAGTGGGGATCTTTTGAGACATTTATAAGAAAAGTTATAGTTAAAAAATTTAATCTTAGTTATCCAGAGACTTTAAAATGTGCATGAGAAAACTAATATGAGAACTTAAAATTTATGTCTGTTTTTTTAATCCATTTCAGACACGGAATCGATTTGAAGGAACAAGGTCGGAAGTGGAAGAGCTTATGAACAAAATCAGACAGAATCCCAAGGACCACAAGCGAGCAAGTCAGTTCACGGCCGAAGGCTACCTGTATGTGCAGGAAAAAAGTAAGGGGCTCTCATGCAGTGGACTGCATGGCTGGTGACAAGCCCAAATCGTTGAAAACTCTGCTGTTCTTCTTGTCATTACAGTGGCATTTCGGGACGCTGTTCCGACTACTGTCTTTGCCCCCTCCATCCTAGAAAGTGTATTCTGCATCTTTGGGGGGAAACACATTTCTGCTCTGGAGAGGGTGTGGTGAGGTTAGAAATGGCGGTGAGCAACCTGCTGTCTAGACACACCACTCCTCTTATTCCACATGAAGTTCCCAGAAACTTCTTGTAAGGGAGCCGGAATTTGGTGTAAGCCCGAGGGTGATCCCAAGTGACATGGGTATTACCTTTTTCTTCTTTGCCTCCACCCCATCTTTATCACCAACACACGGGTGTACACACATGCATAGATTCATACACACCCTCCTTGCTCTGGCAATCTTTCCTTCATCACATGTCAAGAGGGACATAGTTCTCTTTTTCCTTCACACATGTCTCTTGCCACCAATCTGAGACAGTTGGCTTTTACTGAAATGATCAGGAAGATTGCAGAGGACTATAAAAAATATTCCTGCATGGCATCCTAACTGACTTCATAGTCTTGCTGCTGTCTTAGTGACATATAGTACGCAGGGTGTTTTTATTTTGAAAATGAAAGGACCCGTATGTTTTTCAAACTTTGATCAGTCTGGTCTTATTTTAGCAGCTAAGCACTTGCACTTGACTTCCTCAACCCAATTGCTAGTTAGTGGAAAGGATGAGGATGGGAAATGTGTCTGTGTTAACTGCTTTTGTCCCTTTTCACCCTTAACTGTAATTAGGGTGCTTTGCAGTTTTCATTTCATTAGGTAAGTGTGGATGGTTTATAGGACTTTGACACGGACCAGTTTAGTACTAGTGGGTACTCAGAGAACAACCACATGGTGTGTGTGCTTTGAATTGAGGTTGATGGTCTATGTAGTCAGCGGGATGGGTGTATTTTTTTTTCCATTTTGCCCTTATTTAATCTGGAATCTCATAGCCTTCACTTCTCATGAACAGCTGTTATGACATGGCAGATCTCTAAATTTCTCTCATACTTTATCTTTCTAATCTCAGTTTTAAAAATTGAATTGGAAGGAACTCAATTAAAATCCAGGATAGAGTCTTGAGAGTGTTAGAATCCTTCATATTATGTACCCAAGTGAAACTCACAGGAAGTTTTAATTTTTAGAGTCATCATTCCTGCTTAACTATTGGCTTTGAATGACATTGACTTGAGACTAGATGGGAAAGAAAACAAGAACATAAACAGCAGTGGCAAAGATCCTTTTTCCATTTACTGTATGCCTGGCACTGTGCTAAACTCTTTTTTCTTTTTCTTTTCTTTTCTTTTTTTTTTTTTTGAATCAGGAGTCTCACTGTTGCCCAGGCTAGAGTGCAGTGGCATGATTATGACAATCACAGCTCTTGGTAGCCTCAACCTCCTGGACTCAGGCGATCCTTCCTCAGCATCTGTGTATCTGGGACTATAGATGTGTGCCACCACACCTGGCATAGAGACGAGGTCTTACTATGTTGCCCAGGCTGGTTTTGAACGCCTGAGCTCAAGCGATCCTCCCACCTTGGCCTCCCACAGTGCTGAGATTACAGGCCTGAGCCACCATGTCTGATCTAAACTCTTTATAAAACTTGTCTCCTTTAACTATAAAACAACCCTGTGGAGTATAAGGTACTATTATTATCCCATTTATCAGAGGAAATGGAGGTGCTGAGGGGTGAATAGTGTTCCTTAGATTAATACAGCTGCTAAATGCTGGAATTGCCCATCTGAAACTGGAATCTGTGTGCTCTATCCCATAAATTGCTTGATGGGCAGGTGTGGAAGAGCTTCCTAATCTCTGTGCTCAGAGCTGCTTGGGTAGGAGCTGGTGGGTGTGAAAGGAGGGTGAATTAAGCAGGAATTTAAAGACCTTGATATTTAGGGCCAGAGACTCTGATTTGAGGTTTGGCTCTCTCACTACTCAGGCATTTGGTCTAAACTTACGTTTGTTTAGATTAAACAATGATATACCATCCTCTTCTCAGGTTTTTTTTGGGGGGGCGGTGGACGAGGTATAGTCACTCAGGCTGGAGTGCAGTGGTACAGTCACACTCGCCTCAGCCTCGACCTTCTGTGCCCAGGTGATCCTTTTGCCTCAGCCTCTGGAATAACTAGAATTACAAGTGTGTACCACCAGGCCTGGTAGCCAGGAGATTGAGGCTACCAAGAGTTGTGATTGTTGTAATCATGCCACTGCACTGTAGCCTGGGCAACAGTGAGACTCCTGACTCAAAAAACAAAACAAAAAAAAGAGTTTAACACAGTGCCAGGCATACAGTAAATGGAAAAAGGATCTTTGCCACTGCTATTTATTATTATAACTGGAATTACAAGTGTGTACCACCATGCCGGACTAGTTAAAAATTTTTTTTTGCAATGTCACGTAGGCTGATCTCAAACTCCTGGGCTCAAGCATTTCTCCCGGCTCGGTCTCCCAAAGTGTTGGGATTACAGGCATGGGTCACCATGCACCTTTTTTAGTAGTAAATGAAATATTTGTGCATTATTTCTGTGAACCATAGAATTTTATACAAATGCTAGTTATTTATAACACACATGCCAGTGGTTCCTAGATTCAGGTCTTTGGACTAATGATGGTCTGAGATAAAATTTATTATGGTTTAGTAATCCCTTTTATCTCTTTCCCCCTCCCAAATAATGTCTTAGCTTCTCTTAAAGCTGAAAGCATTCCTTTTAAGTGAGTTCTTTTTTCCCTCCTGAGTTTTTTAATTTGGAAGCCTTGTTTGCTTGTTTGTCTATAAAACTATGGTGATACTAGATGCTAATTGCTCTTTTAAAAATATCAATACCTAGTTTTAAAAAAAAGTCTTTAAGGAAAAAATTCTCAACCTCTGCTGGGGCTAACTTTTAATTTTCCGTGATTAGACTTTTACTGGCATGTGAAATTCCAGTTGCTAGGTACCTCTGGCATAGACCACTGTGCTGTAAGCTCTCATGGGGTACTGCTGACTTAGCAAGGGTTCAAAAGGGCTTCAGAGAATGTTCTGGTGCATAAGTGAACAGTCACCACTATTGAGTCTTAGATTTTTTTATTCTTCCTACTTTGTTTCTAAAGCTTAGCTTCACCATCATCAGTAAGAGCAGGTGCTTACCAGGATGCTATTGGTTGGTGGGCAAGAAGCACTGGGTGGATTTTTACACTAGATGCTTCTGGGCACTGTGATTCTACCCTTCTGTCATTTTGAGAGGCCAGGGTTGAATCCAAAACCATCACATATGTTAGATGGAACTTGTGAAACCCTGGTGAGCTCTTTATACCTAGAAACAAACAAAAAGTAGAGTTTAAAATTAAGAGATTATCAGGTATGAGATAACTGTTGGTCTTTCTAGCAAATTGTTTAAACAGTGTGCTTTCAGATCACTTCTAGCTCGATGAAAATGTCTTAGAATTTTGTCTTAAAGTATCTCCACGGGTCTTATGTTCCTTAGTTTTTCCCTTTTTGTTACAACCAGCAATATTGCTGATTTGTTTAATTGAGTGTGTTAGTTTCTGCTTACAGGTTTTTTTTTTTCTTTCTTTAGTAATGTGTTTGCAGCTCTGCATATCTGCTTATATATGAGGGAAATTATAAAGTTCTGTTTTTTTGTTGAAGGGCCTGCTCCGTTTGGTTCCAGTTGGGTCAAACACTACTGCATGTATCGGAAAGCAGCCAAGAAGTTCAACATGATCCCATTTGAGCACAGATCTGGGGGGAAACTTGTGAGTGTTTGGTTTTACATGGAATAGATTTTATTATATGTCAGTGGTAGTGTTTGAGGGTGTCATTTGAATAGTTTATATTGTAATGGTGTATATTCACTAATGATTCATTTTATTTGTCTTTAGTATTAAAATCTTTGTTTCTAAATGAAATAGGCCAGAAAAGAGAACAGTTTATGTATTTTCTGAATTGCTTACATGAGTTTTTACACTCATGTTTTTTTTAAAGTGAGCAGCAGAATTCTTTTATGTCACTATTATTGGCAGATCAAGATAATGCTTATAGCAAGCTTTCATGACTCAGTGGTCCCTTAGTATTTATACAGGAGATCTGACTTGCACAAATGTAATCATAGCCTGAAAACATAAAGTAGAGTGATCTATAATGAATTTTACTGTAGCTCAGTTTAGCCTAAAAAGTTCTTACTTAGGTATTTGACGTTTAGTTAACTACTCTTCTCAAAGAAAAAACAACAAAGGAAAGTGCAAAAAGACTGCAGGAGTTGGTTGTCTAGAAAAGGTGATTTTATCAAAAAATTAGCCAGGTGTGGTAGTGTGCACCTGTAGTTCTGGCTACTTGAAAGACTGAGGCAGAAGGATCGCCAGAGCTCAGCAGGTCAAGGCTGCAGTGGCCGTGAGCCACCAGTACCCTCCAGCCTGGGCAACAGAGTGAGACTCCAACTCAAAAAAAAAAAAAAGAAAAGAAAAGGTAGTTTTAGTATGTGTTTTAAATAGAAACTGTAGCTCATAACAATAATTGATGGTCTGGAGACAAAGCTCTTCCCACCAATATTGACCATAATTGGTAACACATTTTAAGCCAGCAGGTTAATTCTTGCTTACCGACTGGGTGGGCATAGTTTTGCTGAGGTGAATGCAGTTCTTTTTACATATACTATAATTCTTCCTGAAAAATATTTAAATCAGCCTGTAATGAAAGCACATTTATATAATAATGAAATGGACCTAGAAAATCCGAGTCACAGAGAAGAGGAGGAAGTAAGGAGATCACTGTTTTTTTTGTTTTTTTTTTTTTGAGTTGGAGTCTCACTGTCGCCCAGACTGGAGTGCAGTGGCCGCTTCCGGCCACCGCAGCCTCGACCTGCTGGGCTCCGGCGATCCTTCTGCCTCAGCCTTCCAAGTAGCCGGAATTACAGGCACGCGCTACCACGCCCGGCTGATTTTTTGATTTATTGTAGAGATGAGATCTCGCTGCCCAGGCGGGTCTCGATCCCGCGGGCTCAGGCCATCCACTCACCTCAGTCTCCAAAGGTGCGGGATTACAGGCTGAGCCACCAAGCCCGGCAGGAGATCACTGTTGAAGGTTAAGATTGAATGTCGAGCTTGAGCCTGAATTTTCTGCCAGAACGAATCAAGTCCTATGAAATTTCTGCTTAGTGGTATCTCTCTATTTTAGCCTCCAAATAATAATAATAATAAGTACATTTTGAAATATAATAGATGTCTTGAATTTTGTATATTTGAATGTTTGGCTAATATTATTTAGAGATCTTTGTAGTCTAGAAAATGTTAAAATGTTCTAGAAGTGTCATACTTTGTATAGTTGTTCTTTACTGAACACCTGTATTCCTGATTGCAAATTAAGTAAAGATAAATTCGGAGTAATTCACTTAGGAAAGAAAAAAACACCATAGATTGTTTCTAGTTCTAGAAAATCACAGTACCTGATCTTGGGCCCTTAATGGATTTTTAGGTTGATCCATAAGGAATGACAATTTTTGTAGGCCAAAAATGGTCACATACTGACTATGACATGGCATAACAAAATAAGAAATAAAAAAAAATTCACTCTTTAAAAAAGAACTTGATGTGAGAATAACACATATTCTAGCATCAAAAACTATACTGCTAATCTACCTTTAAAAATGAACATTGATATAAAAAAATTAACATTGAGGCCAGGCACGGTGGCTCAAGCCTGTAATCCCAGCACTTTGGAAGGCCAAAGTGAGAGGATTGCCTGAATCCAGGGGTTCGAGACTAGCCTGAGCAACTTGGTGAGACCTCGACTCTATGATAAATTAAAAAAAAAAATTAGCCATTCATGGTGGTGCATGCCTGTGGTTCCAGTTACTTGGAAGGCTGAGGTTAAAGGATCACCTGAGCCCAGCAGGTCGAGGTTGTGGCGGCCATGAGCGTGCTGCTGCACTCTAGCCTGGGTGACAGAGTGAGGCTCTGACTCAAAAAATAAATAAATAAAAAATAACATTGATGTGGTTTGGTTTAACGTTACTATAATCAGTAAGATCTAGAAAACTTGAACAGGAGAATGACAAAAACAATTACGATTTTAGGCTCTAAATATTGTTTGAAGAGACTAGTTTGAAAGAGAGTAGGGTAAAGAGAAGGGACTTAAAATTTTAAACCTTGGCTACCCTCCCACTAGGGTGGCTATGTGTATTTGTGCTTATACCATAGTTTTCTGAGAATGTTTAAAATGATTTCTTGCAGGGGGATGGAGAGGTGTTCTTTTTGAGAGAATGTACCAAAAGGCATACAGATTCCATTGACAGAAGGTTTTGTTTTGATATAGAAGCTACTGACCGGTAAGTGCCTGGAATTATTGGACATGATTAAAGAGTCATTTTAACATGATTTAGGCCAGGCATGGTGGCTCATGCCTGTAATCTCAGCACTTTGGGAGGCTGAGGCGGGAAGATTACTTTAGCCCAGGAGTTCGAGACCAGCTTAGGCAACATAGTGAGGAGATCTCGTTTCCTCAAAAAATAAAAATAAAAATTAGCCGGCTATGGTAGCTCACGACTGTAGTTCTGACTTCTCACGAGGCTGAGGCAGAAGGATTACTATTACTGGAGTCTAGGAGATTGAGACTGCGTGAGGTGTGATCATGCCACTGTACTCCAGTCTGGCTGACAGTGAGTCCCTGTCTCACAACCAATAAATAAATAAAAGATGATTGAATAAAATGGAGGTCATATGTAACTGTGATTTCCATGGCCTGAAAGAATGTTATGTTGTTACATTTCTAGGCTATGTATTATTCAGTATAAGCTGCTTGGTGTTGGTCTCGAGGGTAAGCTTTAGGGTGATAGTTTTATCTTGGCTGAAGTTTGGAGTTAACCTAACCAGTGTTGTGATTTGAAAATAACCTTGGAAACCAACCATGCTGCTCATTGAAAGTGGACTGGATAAAGAAAATGTGGTATATTTACACAATGGAATATTATGCAGCCATAAAAACCCCCAAAATTATGAACTTTGCAGCAACCTGGATGGAATTAGAGTCTATAATATTCAGTGATTTTTTACAGAAACAAAGATGAAACCACACACACTCACTCATAAGTGGATCTTGAGCAGTAGTGGAACACTGCCAGGGGAGGGCACATAACAGCAATAAAGTTACTCACACTTTACCTGTATGATGACCACGTATGTACCTAACCCTCATTTGTACCCTACGTTTAAAAAATAAAAATAGATAAATGGAAGGATCGCCGGAGCCCAGCAGGTCGAGGCTGCGGTGACTGGGAGCGGCCTCTGCGCTCTAGTCTGGGCGACAGAGTGAGACTCCAACTCAAAAAAAAACAAACAGATAAATAAAATAACCTTGGAGCATTTTATTGTTAATCCACACCTACTTTGTGGCAAAGAGAGAACAATGAGTGAGAGTGAGTTGTGGTGGGGGGTATTAACACAGAACAATATTCCTTTCCGTGTATGAGAATTTTCAGTGTATATACTCTGCATGTGATGAAGGGTCTTAAACTCTTTCTGTTTATTCAGAGATTAGTTATTTTTTTTCTTATTGTATGACTTTCAGTTACTCAGTTTTAAAGGAATCTGACCAAGCACAGGGCTCACACATGTAATCCCAGCACTTTGGGAGACTGAGGTAGGAGAATCATTTAAAGACCAGACTGTGCAACAAAGTGAGACCCTGTCTCTACAAAACAACGACAACAACAACAGAAAAATTAGCCGGACATGGTGGCATGTGCCTGTAGTTCTAGATACTTGGGAGGCTGAGGCAGGAGGATTGCTTGAACCCAGGAGGTTGAGGCTACAGTGAACCTGATAGTGCTACTGTACTCTAGCCTAGGGGACAGAGTGAAGCTCCTACTAAAACAAAACAAAATAAAACAAAAGCAAAAACAAAAAACAGAAAAAGAATCTTTGCCAGAAAGGAAGAAGTAAAAGATGAAATAAGTTTTTCTGCCAGTATTACTACTTTTCTTTTTTTTTCCTTCTTCTTCTTTATTTTTTTTGAGTCGGAGTCTCACTCTGTTGCCCAGCCTGGAGTGCAGTGGCATGCTCCCGGCCACTGCAATCTTGACCTGCTGGGCTCAGGCGATCCTTCTGCCTCAACCTTTCAAGTAGCTGGAACCACAGGCATGCGCCACCACGCCTGGCTAATTTTTTTCTTTTTGATTTATTATAGAGACGAGGTCTCACCAAGTTGCCCAGGCTGGTCTCAAACCCCGAGGCAATCCTCTCGTCTTGGCCCCCAAAAGCACTGAGATTACAGACTTGCGCCACCGTGCCCAGCTGTATTTTTTCTGATGTTAATTTCTGTGCTGTCCAGTAGCTCCAAGGAAAATCATAGTGCTTGTAGGAAACTTGTTTTTTATTGGCTGACAGTGCAGTGATTCCTTGCCAGCCCTAGTTTTGGCAATGATGGTTTTTAGATAAGGCTGGTTCATGATTCTATTTAAAAAAACCTATGATTTGAGACTTTTAAAAGCAAAAGTTCAAAAGTTCAATTCAGGGCAGGACCCAGTAATACAAAAATAATTAATGCTGCTTCTTCCTTTACATGATACAACTGAATCAGTGGGGGTGGTGTGGAGAGGGAGAATTTGTGCTTTACTTTCCAATCAATGAATTGAAAACCAGGTATTGTACATAAAATTGGACCCTTACCCACCATGGTGATTTGACACTTCCTTGAAAAGGACAAGTAGTTATGCCAACGTTTTGCCAGGATTGGAAAAAGATGAAAGAGAATGTCAGTGCAAAAGAGGTTGAATTTCAAGTCAGTGAAAACTTGTTCCAAACTTTAGGAAGAGAATTGGTCTGTATAATACTACAACTTGAACACATATCTGTGTGCACGCTCACCCATGGGTGACATTTGAGTCCTTTCTAAGTGCCGGTGTTCTAAATGCTTGTATGTGGCCTTTCATGTATTTCCTTATCAGAACTTTCTCAGGTAGTTACTATTGTTTCCATTTTATGAAGAGAAACTGAGTCACAGGAGTGGTGGAGTGATTCCCCCAAGGCCACGTAGCTAATGAGTCAAAGAGCTGTGATTTGAACCCCTGCTTTCTCCCTCTAGAGCCCAACCTCTTAACCACTATACAATAGCCCTCAACAAATGATCATATGATTAGGATGTTTCCTAAACAATTGACAGCCTGCAATCCCAGCACTTTGGGAGGCAGAGGCGAGAGGATTGACTGAGCTCAAGGATTCGAGACCAGCCTGAGCTACTTGGTGAGACCTTACCCCTACAATAAATCAAAAAATTAGACAGGCATGGTGGCACATGCCTGTGGTTCCAGCTACTTGGAAGGCTGAGGTGGAAGGATTGACTGAGCCCAGCAGGTCAAGGTTGCGGTGGCTGTAAGCGTGAGCGTGCCACTGCGCTCCAGCCTTGGTGACAGAGTAAGACTCTGACTCCCCTCCCCCCCCCAAAATTGGCAAAGGTGAGTCAGCAGTGTTGTCTACTAGAAAATATGTTAGTGAGGTGAATCTGATTGATTCTGAAAGCGGGGTGATTCTAGTATTTTCATATATTATTTTAATGTAATTTATATTATTATTGCCTAAACTCATATTTTCTATGGGACATTCCTCATCCCCAATTTTTTTTTGTCAGCCATGATCCTCCTTCTTATGATCTGAACCACTCTCCACCCCCACAAAGATTGATGTGGGCTTCTGGCTTGAGTAACTAGACAGAATCATTTACCAACATGAGATACATAGAAGGCATAAGGATGGGGGAGCATGAAGAAATCAGATTTGGTCATGTTGAGTTAGATCGCTGTGGGTCATTCGCAAGAGAAACCCAGTAGGAAATGGCGTAAGCCCTTGGCAGCTACAGCAGCATTTGACTTGGTATTCACCTTTGCCCTCCTGAAACTCCAGAACCCTTTGATCTCCATAACAGTGAGTCATTCTGACTCTCCTCAAATTTCTTGGTTCTCTTCATGTCAGCCATTTTTTTGGAGGTGCTGTCATTTCCTGTGGTTGTCCATTCTTTCTTTCTGTATCTGTCCATTCTCATGGTTTCCCTCTAAGTATATTTTTCCACAATATGTGTTTTTCTCGCCTTTTCCTGTGTTTTGAACTGCTTTTAGCTTGGACTGTCATCAGCCCCTCATATGGTTCAGGTTTAGCATTCCTAATCCTAAAATCTGAAACTTTTTGAACTCTGATGTGGCACCACAAGTGGAAAGTTCTACATCTGACCTCACGTGACACACGTGATGGGGCACAGTTAAAATTTTGTTTTTTTGCACAGCATTATTAAATATACTTTAATTTTTTATTAAAAATATAAAAGTACATATTACCTTCAGGCTATGAGTATAAGGTACATATGAAACAAATGAATTTCATGTTTAGATTTGGATTTTGTCCTTGAGATACCTCATCGTGCAGGTACAAATATTCCAAAATCCGAAAAAATCTGAAATCCAAAGCAAGTACTTCTGGTCCCAAGCATTTTGGATAGTGGATACTCAACTTGTTATATGTTCGGTTTCGCTCTTTGTGTAGTTCTCAGTCATTTCAGTATGCTTTAGATCAGGTATGTCCAACCTGCGGCCTGCAAAATCTTTTAGCATCATGTCTTCTAGCATTTATTTTCTTCATGACCTCATGCGTAGTTCCATTTCTGATGTTCGCAATCACACCTTATTTGTGACATCAGTTTTTGGCAGCACACATACTTGTGAGCAGCTGTTTTTAATGATGAAGTACTCCAAGAACAAAATCCATACAAGCATTTCTGATGAGCACTTTGAGAACTCACTGAGAACCGTGGCCACTTCCATCGATCCAGACATTGATAGATTAGTTTTACGCAAACAAGGTCAAATTTCCCACTAGTTTTATATTGTTCTTGTTTTTAAAAGCTTTATAATAAAAATATTAAAAAATAGAAAGTCTTATGATGCACATATGCGAACTATATTGTTGAATTTATGTGTGGCCCAAGACAATTCTTCTTGACTTGATGTGGTCCAGGGAAACCAAAAGGTTGGATATCCCTGTTTAGATGATTCATCCAGCACTTTGCTTCTTGGCTTTCTGTCCTCCTGTCCTCCAGGGAGCTTGTTCTTTACCAAATCTCAGCCATTCTCTCCTGTGTTCCTTCCTTAATCCTTGTCATTACGGGGAGCTGCAGTCCTCAGTAGTCTCGGTTGCAAGCCTCTCTCTTTCTGACACCACCTTCTCTCCCTTCCTGCTTACTCTCCTAGTAAGGGCCCTTGGATTCCCCCAGTCAAGCCCTGTAATCACTTGTTCCTACTGCCCTTCAGCTGTCTCGTACCCTCACTTCCTTTCACAACTAGTG